TGAACAGGATTCAGATCTAAGAAATCATCGCTCGGTGCAGGTGGCTCACGCCTGTAATCCCACTACAAGGGAGGCTGAAATCGGAAGGATTGTAGTGCAAGGCCAGCCCAGTGGAAAAATCCACGACACTCCGTGTCAATGGAAGCAGGTGGGCATGGGAAGCCAAAAGTAGGTAAACTGAGGCTTACGTGTGTACTCAAGCAGGAAGTGAGACTATTTCAAAAAAGTCTGTGCGGAAAAAAAGAAAAAAAACAAAGTCTGTGCGACTCTTCTCTCCAATAAAGCATCAGAAAACCAGAAGTGGCGCTGTGGCTCAAGTGGTAGAGTGCTTAGCCTTGAGCTGAAGAGCTGAGGGACAGCGCCCAGGCCCAGAGTTCAAGCCCCACGACCAACCCAAAAAAAAAAAAATCAGCAAAAACCAGCCTCATGGCAAAAAAAAAAAAGTGCACATTTTCCTCCTAATTAAACCAAGAGCAGGCTCCGGCTGCGAGGACGCCCCGCCCACGCCATTAATGAGCAGTTATTACAATCAGAAACCAATTTCTCTCAATGAAAATGTTTCCACAAAAGTAATTTAATGGCTTTCCCCCAAACGAGGTCCATCCAGCCGGGGACTCCGGCCTGGTGTGGCCTCTGGGCCAGCGGAGGCCAGGGTGGGCAGAGGAGGGGGGGGACGGCTGAGCTGACATCCTGCTCCCCACTGCTGCCTCCTTCTTCTTCCTCTCTTAATCCCCCCCTCTCAAAGACAGAGTGGGGATGGGGCAGGCCTGGATTCAGGGCTCTGCACTCTGACACTGCTGCCTATGGCCTTGGGCAGGGGACACAGGATGGTCAGTGACAGGTGGGTGGGGGGCGTCTGTGTGGGGAGGGAGGACAGGGTGTGTGTGTATGGGGGGGGGGCAGGACGGCCAGTGGCAGGCTTTTTCAAATGCCTCCAGGAGGGGACAGGGGAGCAGAGAAACTGTCTATCAAAAGCTCCAAGCAGACCAAGTGTTGTAGCTCATGCTTGTAATCCTAGCTACTCAGGAGGCTGAGCTCTGAGGATTGTGGTTTGAAGTCTGTGAGAGTGTCATCTCCAAGAAACGACCCCGAAGCCCAAAGTGGCGCTGTGGTTCAAGTGAACAGAAGAGCTCAGGCCCGGAGTTCAAGCCCCAGGAATGACATAAAAACAAAGAGGGACTGGGCAGGACACCCGGATGTGAGGGATGGCCATTTCTGGCTGGTGACCCGGGAGTCAGCTGTTTTCTCCGGGTGTTGCCTGCCACAGACTTGGTGCCTATATCAGAAAAGGGTTCAAACACCGCGTGGTGTGCGCCGGGATGCTGGTGTGTGTGTGTGTTCCCACGTCTGGGAAGATGGAGGCCAGAGCTTCCTCCAGACCTGCCCATCCACTGGTGTCTTACATGCCTTGAAGACTTCTAGGAGCCTTCATATCTTGGGCTTTTCATCTGGGTGGTATTTTCATGGAAGCAGTTTTTCTCGGTGATTTACTTTTCTCACTTTCTTTCTCCACGGGCCAGGGTTTGCCCTTGTATGGTGTGCATTCTTTCCTTTCAGGATGTCTAGAAAATGCTCTGGGCAAGAGATAAAGCACGCATGGACGTGGTGTTTATTCTAGTTCTTAAGGCTTCTTTTTTTTTCCCCCTTTCCTTTGTACAAGATGTTTGTTGGATGCGTTTGAATTTGTATTGGCTTTATAATATGCAGAATAATTATTTTCCAGTGAATCAATTCCCCTTCCCCCCCCCCCCCCCCCCCCCGTAAGCCCTGGGGCTTGAACTCAGGGCCTGAACACTGTCCCTGAGCTCTTCAGCTCAAGGTAAGCGCTCTACCACTTGAGCCACGGCGCCACTTGCAGTTTTCATGTGGTTCATTGTAGAGAAGAGTCCCATGGACTTTCCTGCCCGGGCTGGTTTTGAACCTCGATTCTCGGATCTCAGCCTCCTGAGCAGCAGGATGACAGGCGGCTCCCTCCTAGCTTTTGTGCTCAATGCTGGTCCTCTGCCACTCGAACCACACCTTCACTTTCAGCTTTTTGCCAGCTAGCTGGAGATGGGCTTTCGGATCTATCTGGCTGGTGGATCTGAGCTCTCCTGAGGGACTGGGCATTGCCTCCTGGCTCAAGGCTAGCGCTCTACCACTTGAACCACAGCGCCATTCCGGCTTTTCTCTGTGTGGTGCTGAGGCCTCGAACCCAGGGCCTCATGGATGCTAGGCGAGCCCGTGGCCGGCCGGCGCGGGGCTGCGCTGGGCCGCTGCCCTCCGAGTCCACACATTCCCTCCTTCCGTCGTGCAGGCCCCGGCCTCGGCCTCCGGTCCCCACCGCGGGGGCTGCGGGCCTCGGCTGCGGGCGCTCGTGTGCGCATGCGCTCGTCTCGCGTGCCTACATGCCCGCGCAGGCGCACGTACGCTCCCACGCCTGTGTGCTCGTGCGCCTGCGTGTGCGCCTGCGCCCGTGTGCTCGCGTGCTGAGCGGGACCCGGAGCCCGCCGCCGCCCCGCGGGTGCTGCGGCCGGGAAGGGCCCGGGCGGGGAGGCGCCGCGGGTGGCCCCGTGGCCCGCGCACCGCCCGAGGCCGAACCTGGTGTGGGTGGGGCGGGGCCGCCTGGAGGGCCCGGGCCCGGGCACTGAGCTCTCGCTCCAGGTCCGCGCCTTCTCTGTGGTGTGCATTGCGGGCGTCGGAGCCCGCCCAGGCCGCGCGGCTACAGCCGCCCGACGCCAGGGGGCGCCGCCACGCCGCAGGACCGCGGGCCGCCAGGGGGCGCCGCCATGCCGCAGGACCGCGGGCCGCCAGCCCGCCAGGGGGCGCCGCCACGCCGCAGGACCGCGGGCCGCCCGGCAGCCAGGGGGCGCCGCCACGCCGCAGGCCCGCGGGCCGCCAGCCCGCCAGGGGGCGCCGCCACGCCGCAGGCCCGCGGGCCGCCCGGCAGCCAGGGGGCGCTGCTTCGCCGCGGCTGGGCGTGGGGCGCGCGGGGCGGCGCCGCTGGTCCCCAGGCTGGGGCTGGGCGCGGAGTCGGGAAAGGAGGCGTGAGAGCGGCCGTGGTGTTATGAAAGTGGGTTTATTTACAGGGTAAGGCAGCCGCAGAGCGCGAGCGCCCGGGCGCGCGCCGGGCGGAATCCACAGGTCTCCAGGCGGGGAGGGGTGCGCGCGCCCGGGCATGCATGCGCGCGCAGCCGCCCCGCGCTGACGGCGCCGCGGGCCTTCCCCGCGGGAGGAACATTCATAGCAAAATATAGAGCTCTGGTTCTGCTAGAAAAACTCCGCTCCGATTCCCTGAAACTCCCTCCGTTCAGAAGCCAACAAAGCCCCCGCGGGGCCGGAAACCCTGCCTCCCCCGCGCCCTCGTCATCACCACCACCATCACCGCCGTCCTCCTCCTCCTCCTCCATCACCACCGTCGGGTTTTCTTCTGGGGATCACAACGGATTCGTCTTTGGTTTCATCTGGGGTCTCGCCCTGGGGCCTGGGCCCCGTCTCCGGAGTGGGGCGCTGTCGTGCGCATGGACCGTGGGCTTTGGGGCGTGGAGCCAGGGCGCCCCGGCCTGGGGGTCCCCGAACCTTCTCCAGACACCCCCGGGAGGCCTCGTGGAGATGCGGGGCCGGGGCCGCGTGGACGCCTGGCCCCGGGCGAGCGGGCCCCGGCCCTCCGCGCATGCGCACTGCGCTGCCCACGCCACGGGCGACCGAGGTCGGCAGGGCGGGGCCGTCCACGCTGAGGACACCCGGAACCCAACGGACAGGAGCTCTCCACCGGAAGACAGGCGCTGGAGGTGACGTCAGGAACCTTAAAAGTGCACTGCTGGTTGCAATCGCGCGCCGCGCGCAGACGCGCTTGGATATATTTCTCTATACATCTGACCTGTATAAATACACCGCGGCGGGCCCTCCGCGAGGCGTGCGGCCCGGGAGCCGCCGTGGGCGTCCGCGCGCGTTTGTGGCGCACAGGTGAGGGTTGGATCCACGGCGTAACTGGACAGGAAACAAACAGGGAAGAACGGAAGGCACGGAGACCGGCCCGGGCGGCAGCGCCCGCGAGCCGGGGGCGGGGAGGGCGCGGCGGCACCGCGCGCGCGGACGGCCGGGCCGAGGCCTCCTTCCTGAGAGCCCCGCCGCTCTTCTTGCATAGGGCGCCCACGCCACTCAACAACAACAACATCACAATACATTCTTTCTTCTTCTGTGCCAGGACCGGGGCTTGAACTCGGGTCCCGGACAGCGTCCTTGAGCTTTTGGGCTCTAGGCTGGCGCTCTAGCCCATTGAGCCACGCTCCACTCATGGCTTTTTGGCGGTTAATTTAAGAGTCTCATGGACTTTTCTGCCGGCGCCGGCTTTGAACCGCGATCCTCGGAGCTCAGCCTCCGGAGGAGGGCGTGGCAGGGCGTGGGCCGCCGCCGCTCTTGATCCTCTCCGCGAAGCCCAGGAAAAGGTGTTACAGGAGAAATGTCCAGGCCTCGATGCGGCTCGAGGAGCGCGACGCGGCCACGCCCGGCTTAGAGGAAGGGGCGGGTCGTGGGGGGGGGGGGACGGGGCAGGGGTCCCCACGGGCCCGAGCCGGCCCTCCTCCCGGTGTGCACGCGCGCCGTGCTCACGCACACAGGGCTCGAGTGGCTCCAGGCTGAAGTAAACAGAAGACTCGCAGTTTTGAACTCGCGTGGCGCGTGCGGGGAGGGCCGGCCCCGCGTGCCGGGTGAGGACGCGACACGATCACGGTGGCACGCAGCCGGGGACGAGCTCGTGCAGGCGTGGCACGGGCCTGCCCCTGGGGGGCTGAACGAGGCCCGAGGCCGTGGACGAGGCCGTCCCTGCGTGACTTCCGAGAGAAGAGCGAGGCGTGGGTACCCGCTCTCCTCGGCCCCGCGGCGGGGACGAGGCCTGGGGCCGCCTGCTCACCGTACCCCGCACGCCAGACAAGGGGTGGCGACCCGCCCTCTTCCTCCCACTGGCGGAGCCCAGCGTGGGCCCCGGACCCGAGCTGCGGGTGGGTGTGCGGGCGGCGGTCCCAGCACGCAGCCGGACGTGGAGGCCAGCCGCGTGGACAGTTGTTACAGCCTGCAGCCGTGGGGGCGCGGGCCGGAGCTCCCGGGCCGGCCGGGCCCTGCAGGGCGCTCGTGCGCGTGGGGCGGGCGCGTCACGGCTGCTGCAGGATTTTCGCGATGCCGCCCAGCGAGTCGGCCGTGGCGAAGGCCAGGTACTGCGCGCACAGCCAGTCCTCCAGGCCCACGGCGCCGCCGGGCTCCACGGACTTCTCGGCGAACTTGATCATGAGCAGCGTCCGCTTGACGTCCAGCCAGTTCTGGAGCAGCGCGGCGCGCGGCGCGGGGCCGGGGGCGGCGGCCAGCGCGTGGCGCAGGTCCTCGCGGGGCCCCCACAGCAGGCACTGCAGCACGCCGCGCGCCTCGGCCATGCGCAGCCGCTCGGCGGGGTTGGGGTGCAGCAGGCAGCCTGCCAGCTGCTGCAGGCCGCGCGAGTAGGCCGAGCGCAGCGGGATGCGCGGCAGGTCGGCGCGCGTGTAGTCGCGCGCGCGCAGCGCGGGGTGCTGCGCGAAGGGGTTGGGCAGGTGCAGCATCTCGTACACCAGGATGCCCGTCTGGAACTCGTCGCACTTGCGGTACTGGGTGCCGGGCAGGACCTCGGGGGCCAGGCGCGCCTGGTCCCGCAGGGCCTCGGGGTCCAGCGCGTGGCTCTTCTGCTTGGCCTGCGAGAAGTTGCTCACGAGGAGCCGCGCGGGGCCGGGCGCGGCGGGGCCCGCGGGCACCAGCAGCAGGTTCTCCAGCCGCAGGTCGCAGTGCGTGACGTGGTGCGGCTTGAGGTGCTCCAGGCCCGCGCACAGCTGCAGCAGCAGCAGACACACCTGGCGCTCGTACGCGTCCGGGCACGCGCCGTGCCGGCCCAGCGAGTCCCGCACGAAGTCGGCCACGGTGAGCTGCGGCACCTCGCGCGTGATCACCACCACGTGGCTCCTCTGCGGTGCGGCGCGGCGCTCGGGGGCGGGGTCCGGGCCCGGCGCGGGGTCCGCCGGGTCGGCCTCGGCGCCCGCCCCGCCCTCGCCCAGGCCCGGGTCCGCCGGGTCCGCCGGCTCGGCCGGGTCCTCCCACGGGAGCAGGCGCGCCGGCACCTCGGCCAGGAAGTGGCCGCAGTCCTGCTGGATGTTGAAGTGCACGGCCAGGCTCTGGCGCACCGCCAGGCTGTGGTAGTACTGCTGCGACTCCTTGGCCTTGCTCCTGCAGATCTGAAAGACAAAAGCAACGGAAGCCTATCATATATATTTCTTGCCGGTCCTGGGGCTTGAACTAAGGCCTGGGTGCTGTCACTTAGTTTCTCACACACAAGGCTGGCTTGCCACCAACTGAGCCAACTCCAGCTTTTTGCTGGTTCACTGGAGATAAGAGTCTCACAGACTTTTTTTTCCCCCAGGCTGGTTCTGAACTGCGATCCTCAGATGGCAGCCTCCCTGTGTGGCTGAGATTACAGGCATGAGCTCCGGTGCCCGGATCACATTTCATGGAGCAAACTTCTGTCTAGAAACAGATGTCCCCAGGCTGAGTTCAAGTTCAAACATTTATCTTTTAGGAAATATTATCTTTGGAAATATCTGAAAGTCTCAGCTCATACAGTATAATATATAATCCTATATGCTCACCAATCACCAATTCTTTCTATAAGTACTGCTGGCAGTATTTCACACTCTGGCATCATCAGCTATTAAAATGCTACACTGGCCATAATTTAGCTGCACAGGAGTCAGACCTGGCACACAGCACAGTTAACCTCATTGGCTATTTAAGTAATTTGCAGTATTGCACTGCCCGCTGGAGTGGGCGTTCAGGGCCCTCCTCAGTCTTCGGCTGAGTGAGATGGAGAGTTAGAAGCCCAGCCAGCACATCGCGAGAGGACGCACACCCAGGACTTCAGGTGCTGAGATTTAGCCTCGCCAACAACTTCATATGCCCTGGCCATGTTCACTGAATTTCTCTGAGCCTCATTCTCCAGATTCAAAGCATACCGAATCCTGGAGTAATTCCTAATAAAGGAATATGGAGGAATAGGGAGGCCAGGAATGGTGGTGCAGTGTGTAATCCCAGCCCTCGGGAGGCAGAGACAGGAGCATCCTAAGACTCCGGGTCAGCCTGAGCTACGCAGCAGGCCAGTCTCAACAACAACAGATAAGCAATACCGCCAGGACGAACTCCCAAAGCAAGCCGGCTAACAGCCTGAGGCCCTACCCCAGGTCAGAGAAGGAGAGATGAGGTGGGCAAAATGCACAGGCCAGTGCTTCTCTATGCTATGAGGCCAGACAATTCACAGATGTTGAAAATGATGCAACTGTATATGCTCTACACACACACACACACACACACACACACACACAGCCTGGCACCGGTGGCTCATGCCTGTAATCCTAGCCCCGGCAGGAAAGTCCATGAGATTCTTATCTCCAGTAAACCACCAGAAAACCGCAAGTGGTGCTGTGGCTCAAGTGGTAGAGTGTTTGCTTTAAGCTGAAGAGCTGAGGGACAGCGCCCAGGCCCAGCCTTCAAGCCCCAAGACTGACAAAAAAAAAATTGTTGGTCATGGGGCTTGAACCCAGGGCCTGGGCGCTCTCCCTGAGCTTTTCTTCGCTCAAAGCTAGCATTCTGGGTTTTCTGGTGGTTCATTGGAGATGAGAGTCTCATGGATTTTTCTGCATTTCGAAGTCTGGCTTCAAACTGTGATCCTCAGGTCTGTCTCTTGAGTAGCTGGGATGACAGGTGTGAACCACTGGCGCCCCACTTGTTCATATTTTTTTAGGCAAAAAGCCTGAGCCACCTACAGCAGTGAGACTCCCTGGTCACAGTATGAGACAGGACAGTTAATGAGAGTGCCATCTGAGGGTCAGCCTTCAAGCCTGGGTCAGCTCCAACCATTCGAGCGCGGAGCTCACGAGGCCACATCGGTAGCTTTCACTAAGTCAGTCTGCATCACAAAGAATTCACCACTTGGTAGTTTAACACGGGAAGCAGAGGAGATATAATTGTGATAGTCTAATTTTACCTAGAAGCCCTTGGGGGCACAGACATCTGCATTTTTATAAGGACCTCCAGAGCTGAGAGCAGATAAGAACATGGATCCTACAACAAGAATTTATGTTTAGCTCCACAGATCAACTTGCGATAAAGGATCCAAGTGATTTACGGAGAAGAAATGATAAATTGCCTGGCCCATTTTGAACGCTCTGTAGGAAAGTGTCTTGCCTACACCCTCAACCCGAGTGGGCGGTACATTCTTATCTCTTGGCTTTCTAAGACACAGACAGGCTGAAAAATAATGGGTCAAACTCTTTGAAGGGTAAATGAAAACGAGAGAAGACTGGTGTGGAAAAGAAAGGTGGGGGGGAATCTGGAGCTCTTAATTGGTTCATAAGCATGAAGCTTGTTACAATCCAAACACAGACTTATGGAGATTTCCATAATAGGATTTCACGTGATGGGTCTCTCATAAATCTTTATTATGGAGCATGCGATGATGTTAATTTAGGTAGGAGTATTATATTACTCTATGTGCTGCATAGTAGCCATTTTTCAAATATTAATAAGTTGACTCCTGTAGACTTAAAAAAAAATTAAAAAAAAAAACCTCAAAATGACCTGACTTTGGATGATAAATTTCTAGCCCAAAAGTGATTTCAGAAAATAAGTCACTCTTTCCAGAACAAATGGACAGGTTCTTATTGCCAAGTTTTCCCCCCCTCCCCCACTTCCCCTTCCCGTATCCAATATTTTCTCTACTAGGCATCAGAGTAACTTCCTTGGGGAAAAAAAAAAATCACATTTTTTTCATTAAAAAAAAAAAAAAAGGACTAGATGGCCTGAATTGCAGGAATCTCAAGAAAGCTACTTCATAAAAAAAAAAAAAAAATGGTTTTCACAGGGCTCTTTAGGAGCCCCTAAAAACTTCAGGTGTGAGTAAAAGTGGAGCTCCTATCCTTCCTAACAGGAGAGGGGCCCCTCGGGTTCATTTCGGGGATGGGTGTGTGTGTGTGGGGGGGGGGGGGGGGGGCATGGTCCAGGCCAGGCGGGCTCTGCGCAGGGAGGCAGCGACGCCAGGGGGCGCTGCGGCACCGGTGTGCGGGCGTCTCCACCGCAGGCCGCAGCAGGCGGGGCCCGGGCGGGCGCCGAGCCGCCGGCCAAGGGCACCGCGGAGGTGGTGATGCTGCATTCATGCAAAGGCATTCTTGTGAAGGGCACAAGCAGGGCAGGAGCCCCATGCGCACGGCGCCCTGCTGGGATCCCAGCTCCGGGCCGGGGCGCAGCATCGGGGTTTGAGGCCGGTCTGCGCACCAGAGCGCGTGAGACCCCATCTCAGAGGAAGAAGATGGGTGTGGTGATGCACCGGGCTGGGGTCCAGGCAGGACCCGGGCAGGAAGTGAGTCCCTATCTCAAATAACCAGTGCCAAAAGCAATGAAAACCTCCCGAGCCGAATGAAGCTCGAGGCCGGGTCCGTGGTCACTGCTGGTCAAGCGTGGCCTTGCTCGGGATGGTTTGGGCCAGTGACACGGGCAAGGAGCGGGGGCCCACACTGGCTCCTGACGCCAGCTGACAGGATCGCACGCGGGGCGCCTGCAGCCACGGACGGGCATCTGCCGGGAAACGGGAAAACGGCACACAAAAACTCCCGTGCTTCCAGAAACACCAGGGCCAGATCACCCGTTCCTGAGCCTCCGGAGAGTCAGGCCAAGCAGCGACACGTGCACAAAGCCAGTCAAAAGGCAAGCAGAGCTGGGCGAAGGTTACTTAAAGCCTAGCTTGAGGGAGGAACTCCAAACACTGAGGTCAGGCCAGGGGCTCATTTTCTGTTGCTCATGGCAACTGCTCTGCATACCTGGGAGGCACATTTGCCATGATGGAGCATTGGTGTCTGTGGTGAGCGCCTCCATCCAGACTGCTGCTACCTTTCATAAAGCAGACCTAGGGGCTCTGACTGGGAAGCTGCATTCACAACACACAGCTGGGAAGAAAAAGGCAGCACATGTACCCGGCCATTCCTGAGATCCTTTTGCAAATCCTCTAGGCCAGGACCAAGAGGGAGGAGCTAAATTCATGTGTATGTGTGTGTGTATGTGTGCACACACACCTGCCAATCTTGGGGCTTGAACTCAGGGCCTGGGTGCTGTCCCTTAGCTCTTTCCCTTAAGGCTGGCACTCTACCACCTGAGTCACAGCTCTACTTCTGGTTTTCTGGTGGTTTGTTGGAGATGAGTCTCATGGGCTTTCCTGCTTGGGCTGACTTTGAACTGCCATCCTTGGATCTCAGCCTCCTGAATAGCTGTGACTATGGGTGTGAGCACCAACACCTGGCTTTTCCTACCCTCCCTCCCCCTGCCCTAGAAGATTCCACTGAGGTGTGTGCACTCAGCCCCACTCCTTTCTACCTGATGTCATTCCTGGTGCAGTGTCAGACACGTGGATCTGACTGTCCACGTCACCTCTTCATCTTGTCTATGTCTCTGATGGCCCGTGGATACTTGTATTTGTACACCATGCACACGAGGCGGTACATCGGTGCGGGGTGTCCTTGGACGTGAGGAGAGGCTTGACCTCCGGTTGAGTGTGGCCATAGGGTTCACTGACTCAGAGTGGGCCACACGATTTTAGGGAGCAGATGGAGATGGAAGGTGACAGGGAGGGGGCGATGTAACCACACAACTGAGTGAAATGGAGTCAACAGGAATTGTGTGCCAGGCCTGTGTGCCCAGAGCCTTGCTGATTTTGCACAAAACCACAGAGCTCTTTATCAGCCCATTCCATTTTCTCTTCCTCCCCCCAAAGAAAGCAATAAGTACGAGGGCTGGGAAGGTGGCTCAGTGGTAGAGTGCTTGCCTTGCATGCTCGAGGCCCTGGGTTCGATTCCTCAGCACCACATAAGCAAAAAGAAAAAAGCCAGAAGTGGTGCTGTGGCTCAAGTGGTAGAGCGCTAGCCTTGAGCTGAAGAGCTGAGGGACAGCGCCCAGGCCCAGAGTTCAGGCCCCACGACCGGACCCCCCCCCCCCCAAAAAAAAAAAAAAAAAAAAAAAAAAAGCAATAAGTACGAAAACAGGACTCAAGAAAAAAAAAAAAAGCCAGCATTAGCTCGTGTGTGTATGTATCTGTGCACGTGTGCTCTGGTACTGGGGTTTGAACTCAGGGATTCACACCCTCATGTAGCTGGTGTTCTACCACCTGAGCCACAATTCCACTTCCAGCTTCTCGCTG